ACAGGTGGCGTGAAGCTGCCGAACCTCTCCAGGAGGACTCTGTCCCGTAGCAAGGGCGCAGACTTGGGTGGGGACAAAACCGTAAAGGTTGGGCTGGGTAATGGGTGCCTGTGGCTTCTTTTGGGGACGCTTGGGACATGGAGAAGAGGGGTGTTGGGGGCAGGTGGAAGCAGGACTGCCAGGGCATGCTGAGCCGAGCCTCTGTGGGACAGCGGCTTCACGCTGTTGTGACTCACCACTAGGATCTTGTCAAGGCACTGATCTATCACCATTTGTATCCAGTAATCCTTGAGCCAGAGGAATCCCTGGAGGGGACACCAAAGCAGGGACAGCATTTCCCTTTGTCACCCTTCCTTCTGTTTCCTTGGACCTCTGCATCTGCTGCTTCTCCCTCCTCATCCTCCCCCTCCGCCCCCCCCAATTTTCAGCACACACATCTCAGCAGCACTTCATTTCACCTGGCTTAATCCCGAAACTGCCTATGCTCCCCACAGACTTGCGGCCCAGTCTCTGCGTGGTCGAGCAGCGCGGTGTGTTGGATAGGTACACCAGCAACGTTGTGAGCCACCCTGACAAAAGAAGGAATTCCACTGCAGTGTCACACTTCCTGGCCTTTGCCTGGGTTTTTTTGGTTGTGGGTTGGATTTTTTTTGCTAACCCTCCTCTTCAGTCTTTGTTACCCATGGTACTACATATTACACCTTGGTGAATTGTCCTCCAAAGGCAGCTTGCTAGCATAGCCAACCTGTATAGTTTGACCTATGGGAATGACACTTGAAAAGTCATGTTCATCCTTCCCTCCAGTAACTGTGGAGCTTTGGCATCTCCACCATTGACAACGGCCTCCAAGGCACATAATAAATTTCATGAAAACTGGCATTTAGATAAAGGTGGGTGATCTGATCACTTAGTGCCCCTCATTGACGAAAGGGGGGAAGAATTCACCTCCTATATACTTAACATCAACTCAGCTGCTCTGTCAGCATTCTCCAAACTAACCCAGGGGGCTGTGGAGGATGGGGCTGGCGATATGGTGCTACGTGCCAGGCGACAAATACAGGAGATGAGAGGACACAAAGCAAGGTGACCAGGCTTCACAAATTTCACTGCTTATGGAACAACTTTTTAAAAACAGAAAATCTTCGCTTTCACCACAAACAAACCTCCATGCCTTTCCTGTCATCAGAGGAAACCTGCACCAAAGTCAAATGAGACAACTGATATTAATAATGAAAGCCCTCCACTTCTGTAATAGGGGGCAGGGAAA